ACACCACTTCCTCTTTATCCACTTTATCTACTCATCTACAGATGGACACTTGGGTTGCTTCCATATCTTGGCTATTGGAAAATATGCTGCAGTAAACATGAGACTGCATATATCTTTTCAAATTAGTGGTTTTGTTTTCTTTGGGTAAATACCCAGTAGCGGAATTACTGGATCATATGGTAGTTCTATTTTTAATTTTTGAGGAACCTCCATACTGTTTTCCACAGTGGCTGCACCAGCTTACATTCCCACCAGCAGTGCACCAGGAATCCTCTTCTCCACATCCTCACCAACACTTGTTTCTTGAGTTTTTTATTTTAGCCATTCTGGCAGGTATAAGGTGATATCTCATTGTGGTTTTGATTTGCATTTCCCTGATGATGAGTGATGTTGATGAGCATCTTTCCATGTGTCTGTTGGCCATCTGTATGTCTTCTTTGGAAAAATGTCTGTGTCTTCTGCCCATTTTTAATGGGATTATTGGTTTTTTGGTGTTGAATGATATAAGTTTTTTATATATTTTGGATATTAACTCTTTATCAGATATGTCATTTGCAAATATCTTCTCCAATTCAGTAGGTTATCTTTTTGTTTTGTTGATGGTTTCCTTCACTGTGCAAAAGCTTCTTATTTTGATGCAGTCCCAATAGTTTATTTTTGCTTTTGTTTCACTTGCCTCTGGAGAAAAATGTTTCTACGGCTGAGGGTAAAGAAATTACTGCCTATATTTTCTCCTAGGAATTTTGTGGTTTCACATCTCACATTTAGGTCTTTAATCCATTTGAGTTTATTTTTGGGTATGGTATAAGAAAATGGTCCAGTTTCATTCTTTTGCGTGTACTGTCCTGTTTTCCCAACACCGTTTGTAGAAGAAACTTTTTCCCATTGCATATTCTTTTTCTTTTAAATATGTATTTATTTATTTTAGAGAGAAAGAGAGCGAGTGCATGAGCAGGGGGAAGGGCAGAGGGAGAGGCAGAGAGAGAATCCCAAGTAGGCTCCATGCTGGGCATGCAAGTTTCAATCCCACAACCCCAAGATCACAACCTGAGCTGAAATCAAGATCTGGACACTCAACTGACTGTCACCCAGGCACTCCTCCCATTGCATATTCTTGCCTCCTTTGTTGTAGATCAATTGACCATAAAAGCATGACTTTTTTCTGGACTCTCTATTCTGTCCTATTGATCTATGTGTCCCTTTTTTGTGCCAGTACCATACTGTTTTGATTACTACAGCTTTATAGTATATCTTGAAATCCAAGATTCTGATACCTCCAGTTTTGTTCTTCTTTTTCAAAATCGCCTTGGCTATTTGTAGTTCCATACAAATTTTAGGATTATTTGTTCTAGTTCTGCGAAAAATGCGATTGGTGTTTTGATAGAAATTGCATTAAATCTGTAGATTTCTTTAGGTAGTATGGACATTTTAACAATATCCATTCTCCCAGTCAATGAACATGGAATATATTTCCATTTGTTTGCCTCACTGAGATCCTCCACTCTTTTCTCAAGTCCAGTAAGTATCTTTATCATCATTATTTTGAATTCTCTACAGATATTGCTTATCTCCATTTCATTTAGCTTTTGCTGTGATCTTGTCTTGTTCTTTCATTTGGGACATACTCCTTTCTCTCCTCATTTTGGCTAACTCTCTGTGTTTGTTTCTATGAATTAGGAAAGTCTGCTCTGTCTCCTGATCTTGAAAGTAGTGGCCTAATGAAGAAGAGGTCCTATAGTGCCCTGTAGTGCAATGCCCCCATTCACTAGAACTTAGCACTTCAAGGGTGTCTCCTATGTGTGTTGTATGAGCTCTATTACTGTGGTTGAGCTATGCTTGTCTTCAGTGAGCTCTTTGCAATGGCCCTCTTTGCCTGTTGTGAGCAGAGTTTGGTTTCTGTTTGTTCAGGGGCCAGTCTGGGGCAGCCTTGGGCTTATAATTAGGTCAGACCTGATGGCTACCCTCAGCCCATTTACCAGAATTGTGGTTGCACTGAACTGCAGGGTGCTCTTCCTGCATTGTCCTCTGAGAGGCTTTCATTGGTAGGCAAGACCTGCAGTCAGACCAGATGTCTGACTCCCAGTCTGTCTGTTGGGGTTGTAGTGACCCCAAACAACAGGGCTCTCTCTTCGTGCTGCCCCTTGTGAGGTTTTTGTTGGGGGGCAGAGCTAGCAGTCAGATCAGACCATTGAGGCTGCAGTTACACTGGTGTGTGTGTGTGGTTATATTCAGACACTTTAGAGTGGTGCTGGCAACTATCAGCGCTGCTCGAAGGATGAGACTGGGCCAAAGCACTTTGGAGGAACTCCTCTTGAGTGGGGGGTGGGTGGATGGGGCGATCTGCAGGAGAACAAGGTATGTGGTATTAGGAAACTGGATGGTGAATGTTCACACTAGTTACCACAGATATCCGTGTATCTAGGCTGGGGTTGGGAGAGAGAAATGCCATCCACCAGTTCTTTTGTTCTTGGAGAAGTCTCCTAAAGATCCTTGCCCCTCCTGTGCACATTCTGAGATTAGTAAATAAATCTCCTCATATACCCCAGGTGCCTCTCAGACTGCTGCTTCTATGCTGTATCTTACGGGGTTTGTTTGCTATGCCGGCGCTCTCAGAGCCAAGCCTTTTAAAGTTCCTGATGTTAGGGCGCCTGGATGGCTCAGTCGGTCATACGTCTGCCTTCAGCTCAGGTTATGATCCCAGAGTCCTGGGATCAAGCCCTACATCAGGCTCCCTGCCCAGCAGTCTGCTTCTCCCCTTCCCTCTGCCCCTCCCCTGACTTAAGCTCTCTCTCTCTCTCTCTCTCTTAAATAAAATCTTTAAAGGGTGCCTGGGTGATTCAGATGGTTAAGTGTCTGCCTTCAGCTCAGGTCATGATCTCCAGGTCCTGGGATTGAGCCCCATGTTGGGCTCCCAGTTCAGCGGGGTGTCTACTTCTCCTTCTCCCTCTGCCTCTCCCCTTGCTTATACTCTGTCTCTCTCTCTCTCAAATGAATGACTAAAATCTTCTAAAAAAAATAAAGCTCCTGATGTTAAGCCCCACTGATTATAAAAACTCAAGAAGTTAAGCTGCTCTAGTTTTCAAAGCCAAATGTAACGGGGACTTGTATTCCCAGTGCAGGTCCCTCATGTCTGAGGTGACTGGTGTGGGGTCTGTTCCTCTCCCTTCTCTGTACTTGTGGTATCCTCCCACTTGTGGTTAGTCCTGCATGTTAGTTTCACTTCCAACCAGACTTTATCCTTGCTACTGTTTCCGATGTGGCCTCCTCTCTGCAATTAACTGTGTACAGTCTGCTCTGCCAGTCTTTGGTTCATTTTTGGGCAATTACACTGATGTAGCTGTTATCTATGTGTGTCCATGGGATGAGGTGAGCTTAGGATCCTCCTACCATCTCTCCAGGCTCCTCTGCCTCCTGATCTTTTAATCCTTATTTCAGTCTTTTGTTCCCTTACTTATATATGTATACATATATACACATATGTGTGTGTATATGTGTATTTATGTGTATATATGTGTGTATATGTATACGTGTGTATGTATACATATATGTATATATGTACATATACATATATACACATAATTTTTAGCCACATTAAGTATTTCCAGTTGTGCACTTGTGCCCCCATGGCTAATTTATTGTGAAGCTAATGAAGCTTAAGTTTAAAGGCCCCTTGCTTACTTAAGCCCACACTAAGGCTTGGAGGGGTCTCTAGTCATATGTCTCACATGGTCATATGTTTTTATAAAATTTGCAAAAGTAAGTTATATTGGTTCCACTTTTGGAACAGCAGTGTGAGAAGCTCTATGGACCATCATTCCAGCAAAATAAGCATAACTGTGGAGGAAAAATACTTAAAATCTCTGGGAACTATTCAAAGGGTATACATGAAATGATGTATGAAAGTCTTTATTCATAGTAAAATTAATGAATAAGTAATTCAACATTGAATTTTTTACATATAACCAAGATGTAAAATAAATCTCTCTAAATTCTGTTCTATTTTCCATTTAAAGTTTACTCTAAATTTTTAAATGCAAATCCAAAAAGAAAGTTTTCCATGGTGAATTAAATGAACGATTTTGTTTATGAGAGAGGCTGAATGTTCCTAAAATACTGTCATACCAATATTTTTTGAGTGGACCACTTTGACAATACTTCTGTAACTTTCTAAAATGATACAGATATTACCCTCATCTATCTCAATGCTGACACCAAACTTTTGGCCATTTTGGGGAAAGTGAGGACTCTAGCTTCTAAATGTAAAATACCCTGGTGAAATATCTGATCCACTTAGACTGGAAATTTTATTTCATCTCATCTCTTCCCTTGCAGACCAGGGAACACTCTGAACATGGCCTCAGAGATCCACATGCCAGCCCCAGTGTGCCTCATTGAGAATAATGGAGAGCAACTGGTGGCTAATCAGGAAGCTTTGGAGACCCTGGCAGCCAATAAGAATCCTCTTGTTGTGGTGGCTATTGTGGGCCTCTACCGCACAGGCAAATCCTACCTGATGAACAAGCTGGCTGGAAAGAACAAGGGTGAGTGGCACCAACAAAGCTCTGCCAAGTCCTTTCTGTCCACCCATGCTGCCAATATGGAGCACGGTGATGCAAGGAAGTTAGAGATGCAAGAGAATACTGAAAGTTATCTTTCAATCCACAGTTATGCTCTTATCTTCACTATGGCCTGAAAAAGACAGTTCATCTCTCTTTCCACTTTGTCTTAGTTTCCCCTTTATGCTTTTAAAGCATAAATTGTTCCTTGCCTAGAAAGACTAATAATGCAGTAATAAAAGTAATTAGTGTACAAAATAATAAACTATCAGACATTTACTAAAATGTTCATGCAGTAAAAGCAAGTTTCCACTGATTATTAAGTGGAATGTTTAAGTCTGTATTGGCTTTCTTTTACTGTTGTAAAATATACATAACATAAAATTTGCCATTGTAACCATTTTTAAGTGTACATACAGTTCTGTGGCATTAAGTAAATTCATACTATTATGCAACCATCACTACCATCCATCACCATAAATTTTTCATCTTCCCCAACAGAAACTCTGTACCCATTAAACAATAACTCCCCAGCCCTTGGCAGCCACCATTCTATATTCTGTCCCTATGAATTTGACTGCTCTAGGAATCTTATTTAAGAGGAATCAGACAGGGGCGCCTGGGTGGCTCAGTTGGTTAAGGGGCTGCCTTCAGCTCGGTCATGATTCCAGGGTCCTGGGATCGAGCCCCATGTTGGGCTCCCTGCTCAGCGGGAAGCCTGCTTCTCCCTCTGCCTCTGCCTCTGCCTCTGCCTCTCCCCCTGCTTGTGCTCTCTCTCTGTCAAATAAAGAAATAAAATCTTAAAAAAAAAAAAAAGGAGGAATCAGACATTATTTGTCTTTTTGTGATTTGCTTATTTCACTTAGCATAATGTCTTCAAAGTTCATCAATGTTGTACCATGTGTCAGAATTCTCCCTTTTTATGGCTGAACAACTCTATGTGCATATCGGTTTGTTTATCCATTCATCTTTTGAAGGGCCCTTGGGTTGCTTCCACCTTTTGGCTATTATGAATAATGCCGCTAAAAACATGAGGATACAAATATCTGTTCAAATACCTATTTTCACTTTTGGGGGGGTATAGACCCAGAAGTGGAATTGCTGAATCATATGGTAATTCTATGTTTAGTTTTTTAAGAAATCATCATACTGTTTTCCAAAGTAACTGCACCATTTTACATTCCCACCAGAAAAACACAAGGTTTCTAATATCCCCACATCCTCCCCAGTACTTATGACTTTCTGTTTTTTTTGATAGTGGCCATCCTAAGGAGTGTGAAATAGTATCTCATTGTGGTTTTGATTTGTTATTTCCCTAATGACTCGTGATGTTGAGCATCTTTTCATTTGTTTATTGGTCATTTGTATATTTTCCTTGGAGAAATGTCTAGTCAAGTCCTGGGCTCATCTTTAAAAATTGTTTTTATCAGTTTCAGGGGTAGAATTTAGTGATTCATCCGTTGCATATAATACCCAGTGCTCATTACATCACGTGCCCTCCTTAATGCCCATCACCCATTTCTCCTTTGCCCCCACCACCTCCCCTCCAGCAACCCTCAGTTTGTTTCCTAGAGTTCAGCATCTCTTAGGATTATTCATGACCAAGTGGGATTTATTTCTGGGCTTTGCTCATTCTTTAATCAGGTTATTTTTTGTGTTGCATTGTAGGATTTCTAGATCCATCTACTATTAAAACTCCACCCCCTCTTATCCCCCCTCCCCCGCACAGGCTTTTCTCTGGGCTCCACAGTACAGTCTCATACCAAAGGAATCTGGATGTGGTGTGTGCCTCATCCCAAGAAGCCAAATCACACCTTAGTTCTTCTGGACACTGAGGGCCTGGGAGATGTAGAGAAGGTAAGGATTAAGGATTCAATTTTGGAATTAGACCCTCATCCCTGAATATTCTCTACAGTATTTATTTTTTTAAATAAGAGCTTTCACTTAAATGCATGTTTTTTTCATTTCTGTTTATGTGCCCTGAGACCAAGTTTAGCAATCAGGGGTCAGGAAAATATTCATAAGGCAGAATCCTAGAAGATCATAGTGGTCAGTAGGTAGTATTCTAATTATTAACAATAGGCTGCATGCCAAGCCAGTTAACCCAGATACATAAAAGTAGTACAAATAAAATCAATGTCATGAGTTCAATCCTGCAGAGAACTTTAGTTAAGAATTTAGGTTCTGGAGTGCTTGGGTGGTTCAGTAGGTTAAGCGTCTGCCTTCAGCTCAGGTCATGATCCGGGGGTCCTGGGATAAAGTCCTGCCTGCTCAGTAGCAAGTCTGCTTCTCCCTCTTCCTCTCCCTCTGTGCTCTCTCTCACTCTCACTCTATCTCAAATAAATAAATGAAATCCTAAAAAAAAAAAAAAGAATTTAGGTTCTGAAGTCCTATACCCTTGTGTTTAAATATAAGCTCTGACACTAACTCAGTGGCCTTGGCAAATTATTTGACCTCTTTTAACCTCAGCTTTCTAAATCTGTAAAACAGATGTAATAGATCTATATTTGCCTCATAGTATTGCTTTGAATAAGGTAAGTAATGGAAAATGTTAGGTGCATAATAATTGCTCAATAAAGTAGCTACACGTATTATTACTCTTATATAAGTCAATTTTGCTGTAAAAAGGAAGAGAAATCTTTAAACTTAAATTATATTTAAGGCCTTAGAATGCCCACCAACCTTGATTACTGGTTTTGGTATTATCTGCCAATGATCATAAAAGGACCTAGTGAGAATCAATGTAAACTAAAAATACTAATTATAAAATGATCCAAAATTCAAGTCCCACTAACACATTTGTTTGGATTTGGTTTTCTCATATAGGTCATTATTCTAATTAAATGAGCAGCTTTTTACTGCTGCTGATCTGGAAAGTACCAGGAGAATGAAACATAATCTCAGCCCAAATGTGTTCTGATTTCCAGGGTAACAACCAGAATGACTCCTGGATCTTTGCCCTAGCAATACTCCTGAGCAGCACCTTTGTGTACAATAGCATGGGGACCATCAACCAGCAGGCCATGGACCAACTGCAGTATCCTTTTTGTTGTTCAAAATAGCATCAAAGTAAGAGGGGAGACCTATATTTAAAAACCAGCTGCTTGGCTGTTAATCCTGGTGAATCAAGCACAAAAGGAGAAAATTTAAGAAATAATTCAAGGGTAAGGGAAAGATCCTATGTACCCACTGAAGAATTGACATTTGGGTTAAAAACAAAGGTGAAATGAAGGTTTTAAATATATGGAACTAATATGGGATGGAGGACACTGTTCTTTTATGCCAGTTTTCCTTAGTTTGCTACTCAGCTATGTGACAGAGCTGTCAGATCGAATCAGGGCGAAATCCTCCCCTAATGCCGATGGGATTGAAGATTCGGCTGACTTTGTGAGCTTCTTTCCAGATTTTGTGTGGACACTGAGGGATTTTTCCTTAGATTTGGAAGCAAATGGACTACCTATCTCAGCAGATGAGTACCTGGAGAATTCACTCAAGCTTAAACAAGGTAAAAGGAAGGGACTTAGAAATAAATGGAGATAACAAAACACAAGAAACTATCATTTTAGTGTTCCATTTAGAGTTTTCTTACATTTATAGTTTTCTACTTATTCTTAGCTAGCTATAACTAAGAATTAATGCTTGTTTAATATATGAATTAATAAATTTGATTTTAAATTATATTCTCCTCTCTTCTAAGAATAATTTCCTTTTCTTTCATCTTTTCCCGTGCTATTATTAGATTGATTTTATTTCCCTGCTTTGGGCTTGCGATTAGCTAACGAATATGGAATAGAATAGACACTGATTGGAAGAAAAGAGATGAAAGCATGAACAGTGCTCTAGTCCAAGGGTTGGCAAATGATGGCCCACAGTTCAAATGATGGCCAGTCCAGCACACCAGCTGTCTAAGGTTTTATTGGAATAATGCTATACCCATTCATTTATAGATTGTTTATGGCTGCTTTCACGCTGCAACAGCAGAACAGTGCCCTTGGAAAAGAGACCCCCTGGCTTGCAAAGCCTAAAATATTTACTGTTTGGCTCTTCACAGAAAAAGTTTGCAAGACCCTATATTTGGGACATTGCTTTTTTATCTTCCTGCAGGTACTACTCAAAGTGATCAAAATTTTAATCTGCCCCGTCTCTGTATCCGGAAGTTCTTTCCAAAGAAGAAATGCTTTATCTTTGATCGACCCACTCACCGGAAGAAGCTAGGCCAGCTTGAGACATTGCATGATAATGAGCTGGATCCTGAATTTGTGCAACAAGCTGCAGTCTTCTGTTCCTACATCTTTAGCAATTCCAAAATTAAAACCCTTTCAGGAGGCATCAAAGTCAATGGACCTCGTGAGTCGTCTTCCCAGTCTTTTTCTTTCATTGTTAAGACTAAAGGAGGGCAGAATTATATCCACACAGTTTCAGATTTGAAAAATGCAAATCCTAGTGCTATTACCATTTAAATTCTAGATGGCACCAACATTTCTAATAGATTTTACTAGCCAAATTCTCTCGGGTGAGAAAAGATAGGAGAGGCCAAAGGAAAAGAAAGCTCTATTTCTTAAAATTGCCCTAGTTAATTGGACCTGCACTGCCCAATATGGTAGCCACTATACAAGTGTGGCTATCTAAATTTAAGTGTAAGTTAATTAAAATTAAAGAAAATTTAAAATTCCAATTACACAGCTATATTTCAAAGGCCCATACCTATATGGGGCTGGTAGCTGGACAACATACTGCACAATACACACAGAACACTTCCAACATCACAGAAAGTTCTCTTGGACAACACTATGCTAGAATAAACAAAACTGAGAACTCCTTTTGATTTATTCTACAATATTGATCAAATGTTTACCACAGACCAGGGCTGCTGATAGAGATATACATGAGAGAGCTATGGTTCCTGTCCTAATGATGCTTGGGGGTAAAGTAGATGCAAGCACTCAGTAAACATAGGCCTATGCTATCTATAACAGAGATTCTTGACCTTTGATGTATATACATATCACCTGGGCATCTTGCCAGAGAGGAGGGTCTAATTAAGTTGATCTGGGGCAAAGGCTGAGAATCTGCATATCTAGCAAGCTGCCAGGTGATCCTGAGGACACTGATGCTGTGAGGCAAATGGGTAGTAATAAACACAATCAGAATTACACAGAATAGAATGTTTCCTCATCCTACCTACAATAAACATCCTTATTTGTTCTCAATTTATAGGTCTAAAGAACCTGGTGCTGACCTATGTCAATGCCATCAGCAGTGGGGATCTGCCCTGCATGGAGAATGCTGTCCTGGCCTTGGCCCAGATCGAGAATGAAGCTGCAGTGAAAAAAGCCATTGCCCACTATGACCAGGAGATGAGCCAGAGGGTGCAGCTGCCCACGGAAACCCTCCAAGAGCTGCTGGACCTGCACAGGGCCTGTGAGAAAGAGGCCATCGAACTCTTCATGAGCAGTTCCTTCAAAGATGTAGACCATTTATTTCAAAAGGGCTTAGCGGTAATTTGTTCTCAAGTTTATATGGATTAGGGCCTTGGAAAGCAAAGTACTACCAGAAAATGAAATGAGCATTTATTTTGAGAGAGGGAATGCCTACTAGACTTCAAAAATGGTGATAACCACGATTTGTTATTATCATAAAAAGAAGAACAAAGTTTATTTTGATCTTCCTCAAAATTTAACTAAATGCATATAAGTAACAATCAGAGTTTCTAATTGAATGCCCACTGTTATCAGACTGATTTGATATCCTAGTCAAAAGCAAAGAAAATTGTAGTCCTGATTATCATATGCAGGCTGATATTGAGCCACATTTATTCCATATGTAATCACTGGTCCAGTTTGACAAGCAGAAGTCTATCTCTTAAAGGGAGAGCAAAAAAAAAAAAGTTAGCACTCTGCTCTGAACTTCACCTCCAAGGAAAACGGGACTTTAGTAATAAAGTCAGGAGCAAGAGGAAGGATATGGTCCTGTTGAGGTGCCTGTAACTTTTTCTAGGGTCATAGACTTATTTTTGAGAAGACTTTCCAGAATCTCCAAGGTCAAGCTAACATCTTTTCCCTGTTATTCTTTTTACTTTTTGTTTTTAAATTAAAGGCCAAACTAGAAAAAAAGCGAGATGACTTTTGTAAACAGAATCTGCAAGCGTCAACAGATCGTTGCTCAGATTTACTTAAGGATATTTTCAGTCCTCTAGAAGAAGCTGTGAAGCAGGGGGTTTATTCTAAACCAGGAGGGTATCGTCTCTTCATCCAGAAGATGCAAGAGCTAAAGAGAAAATACCTTCAGAAACCTAGGAAGGGGATACAGGTAACCAGGATTTATCTGCTGATTCTGGAAAGCTTCTGACATGCCTCCTTGGAAGACCAACATAACCAAGTGTAATCTCACACATTGCAAGAACGAAAGCATTCATGCTTTCATCTGATAAACATGTACAGGGAGCCTATTATACCAGATATGTCCTCTGTGCTCATCCAAAACAGTGCACTCAATTAATAATTGAGTTATTAATTGGATTTTCAGATTAACCACCAAGTTGTTTTTGTAATTCACTATTATAGCCGGATCTTTATGCTGTCAGGGACAGAAACCCAGTGATGGTCACTTAAACGAAAATGGTAATTCATCATTTTAGGCTACATATCCTCCCTCCACCTTCCCTTTGATCTGCTTTCTCCACGGTGGCTTCCTTTTTCAGCAACTCACCCCACAGGGGACCAGAGCAACAACAACTCCAAAATTAGAGCCCTTAGTCTAAAAGAACAAAGAATCTCTTTTCCCCAGTGTCTCTATCAGTCTCCTACAAAGGATTCTGCTTAATAGGGTGCCATGATTGGCCAGCATGGAGCAAGTGCCCATACCTGTGGCAGGGAATCTTGACCACAGGCACACCAGGGCCAAGAGGAACAAGTCCTAGAGGAAAAGATGGCGGGAGACAATCAGGAACAAGGGTTTCTAGCCATTTCCTATAACTAACTCCATGTTCTCTGAGTCCTAAGGCTGAAGAGGTTCTTCAGGAATACTTGAAGTCCAAGGAGTCTGTGACTGATGCCATTCTACAGACAGACCAGACTCTCACAGAAAAGGAAAAGGAGGTTGAAGGTGAGGAGCCAGTCAAGAGACTAGATAGCCTCACGAGCTCTCGAAGTTTAAATAATTTGGCTGGGTAAGACTGCAATCTTACACTAAGGCAAAAAGAACAAAGATGCCCCTTACTTGCTGAAGTCATTTCTGAGTAGGGCAGATACAGTGAGCAGCAACAAAGACAGGTAAGCATGCAGGGAAGGAAGGGACAACACGCTTACTCACATACGTTTTTCTTCTTTTTCCTCCTCACAGTGGAACGTGTGAAAGCCGAATCTGCACAGGCCGCAACAAAAATACTGGAAGAAATGCAAATAAAGAATCAGCAGATGATGGAACAGAAAGAAAGGAGCTATCAGGAACATGTGAAACAATTAACTGAGAAGATGGAGAGGGATAGAGCCCAGTTGCTGGAAGAACAAGAGAGAGCTCTAGCTTTAAAACTTCAGGTATTTAATTGCATTACCTTGAGATTTCTGTTTGTCTCTTTTCTCTCCCCTGTCCCTGATCATATCTTAGTGTGTCAGTGAGAACATAATGCCTAGAAGAAGGACCTTGCTTGCCACTTGTACTTTTCAGTTTCTGTCTGCCTGCCTGACCTGGCTCCTGCCTCTGCCTGGTTGTTAAAAGATTTTATTTGCAGTTAGGTCACATCCAGTCCTTTATCTGTACATCCTCCAATCAGTGGCTGTTATCTGCTAGGCATCCGGAAAAATCACTTACTTGTATCTCTTGCTTAATACTATATGAAGCATTGGGTTGCCTGGGTGGTTCAGAGGGTTAAGCGTCTGCCTTCGGCTCAGGTCATGATCCCAGGGTATGGGATCGAGTCCCACATCGGGCTCCTTGCTCAGCGGGAAGCCTGCTTCTCCCTCTGCCTGCAGCTCCCCCTGCTTGTGCTCGCTCTCTGTCTCTCTCTGATAAATAAATAAATAAATAATAAATAAATAAAATCTTTAAAAAAATACTATATGAAGTAAGAACTGCTATGCCTCTATTACTTAGGAAAAGAAATGAAGTTCAGAAAAGTTCCAATAACTTTTGTAGGATCACACATCTTGGTAAGATATCTGAACTGTCTTCACCTCTTGGTGGAAATGTAATCACAGAGCTAGGATGCCCAAGAGAAATTAATGAAAATTAAGTGTAGAGAAAATGTCAAGAAGAAATTAAATATTTTAAAAATCTATGAATGTGGAAACTAGATATAAATGATTTACTTAGTGCTACACTTTACTTAGTCTCCATTTTTCCCTTTTTTAGGAACAGGCCCGTCTACTAAAGGAAGGATTCCAAAATGAGAGCAAACGACTTCATAATGAGATACAAAATCTCCAGAAGAACATGGAAAAGCCAAGGAAAATATGCCTCATAAGCTGAAGACCGAAAGAATAGAGCTTTTCTGGTCACTCTTACCCAAGGCATAACTTAATTTTTGAATTTGTAAAAATATCATTACATTTGAAAGTAATCAGGTCTTGCCTTTTTCTAACACTAGAAATTTGCAAAGACATGCAGTACTATAATTAAGATCATGTCCATCTTCCTAAAAATATTGTAAGTGGTGTAACAAAGGTCAGTTTTACTTCTCTAACAACACAGAAGCTATCTGAGCATTCAAGAGCAGTTTATTTCTCTGGGTGACCATTAGTTGACAAATGGATACTGAGCCAAGTCTTAGGTAAAACTTTAAGAACATAGTTGGGCATCAGTTTGGCCAAGTGTTCAATGGGTTTCAGTGTCAGGGATAACCATCCTAGCTTTTTAGTGAAGACTGTGGAGTTTCCTATTGTATCCCAACTGCACAGTCTGAGCAGTTATGTAATCACTAGGCCCTAGGAATGGACAACCCTCCTTGATGGATTCCAAGCGGGAGCAAACCACCTTAGATAGAGATCTAGAATCTCCACAGAATTTTCATAGGAAGATGGAAGAAACCATTAGCATGCGTAGGGGTTGGGTCACAAAACAAATGGGCCAAAAAAGGAAACTCTCCTTTCTCGCTTGATCTACCCAGATTATAACTTTAATGAGACACTTTAGAATTTTAGATAATTGCCGCTGGGCTGAACATGGTAACATGATGGCAATTATACATTGTGTATTTATAACAATGTATAATTCACAAAGATGGACCTTAAATGATGACAGATAATGTATTAGAAACTGAACCAAATTATTAGATCATTTATAATCCTATAAATTAGGCCATATTTTCCCAATTCTTAACAGTCTATACTTGAAAGTTTACTGATTTTCCCCAAAGAAATTATAGTTTGTTTTTTATATTTTTTGACCAACAAAATAATGCTTTTGGTATTACTTAGTATATATAGGTTTTATCCTAATTTTCTAAAATCCTAGGTAATGGTTGTTTCTTAAAAATGATTAAAAATTATTTTCAAGCTGAAAATAAAATGTGCTTCACTAGGTTTTTTATTTCTGATAGTTTTTTTTTTTCAGTTTTCACCAAAAAATAAGGCTTTACTCTTCATAGCAATGTTGGCTAACTTTTCTGCAAAAGACCAGATGATAATTATTCTTGGCACTGTGCGTCCTACAGTTTCTGTCTCAACTGCTCAACTCTGCCATGTAGTGTGAAAACAGTCATAAACAATAGGTAAATGCATGGCCATGGCTGTGTTCCAATAAACCTTTATTTTAAAAAATAGGTGGCACCCACAAGCCATAGTTTCCAGATTATTGCTCTATTAAACCATTGGTCAAATACTATGTATCTGCCTTATGTTGCTTACATTTGTAAGGGGACATGCATTAAATTGTATGTTAGGATCTTGAAAATATTACACAATGTTTCAATATATTACAAGATGAGAGAAATAAAGGGAAGCAGCTAAATGCCATTAAATCCACATTAATAAGCCTGCTTTTTCTGATTGCATGGGGACATATTATTCCATTAAACCTCCTTGCATCCCATCAAATGGTGAATGCCTCTTTCCACAGTTGAGAACATGCTACTAAGGGGTATTTCTTCACTTGACTGCAACTTCTTAGGAGATCAGGTGAGACAAACAGCATGTGTCTAAGTATACACACAGACCCACGGTGCTTATGTAAATATGCTTTATATTTTTTCTTTTCCAAGCTGCATTGCAACAAAGGAGTAAATAAAATACATTTTTATTGACTAAAGAAACTTCATGGTAAAAAGAACATATATGCCTTCAAAACCAAATAGGGGTCTCTTAAAAACCATTTAAAAATAAGAACATTGAAAACTAAGCAAAATTACATAACTTCCTCCCTAGTTTGGTAGCATGAGTCTATACCAGATTTCAAATCATCTGATGTCTGGTTTAGGCTTTTTCTATACTATGTCCAGGAACAAAATAAAGCTCTCTCTCCAGGGAGGCATGTTGCTTTCACCAGTGGTCCTCAATCCAGCTGTGAATTAAAACCAATTTCCTAAATATAAAGATTCCTGGCCCCTACCCTTCCCTTGATTTTCTGATATAGTAGATCTGAGATGAGTCATTGGGTGATACAATAACAAGAAAAAGGTAATTCAAGGCTATAAGCTTTCAGTCTGCCAAAGCTACCATATGTTAGGACCTATATTTGCTGACCCTTACAGTGTTCTTGTGGCAAAATTCTTTTTAACCTAGAGAAGTATATTTTCTCTTGTTTACATGTCAGGATGTTACTTTTCCCTCTGTAGGTTTAATGAAAGGATATATAAGATCCCCTGATTTAAGAGAAAGGGAACACACAGAACACTGAGATCCAGACAAAATAGCAGAGCTCCCTCAGTGAAAGCTGCCCTCCACAGGTCAAAAATCATTTGGTCGGGGAGTCGCGCGCTCCGTAGGGCAGAGAAGTCATGGCTCCTCCATCCAAAGGCAAGGGCTTGTTTTCGTCTGATGAGGAGGGCCGGGCAATGGTGGCTGGGCCCGGCCCGGGGCCTGGGGGAGCGGCGGAGCGCCGCGTCAAGGTCTCCAGCCTGCCCTTCAGCGCTCATGTCGCACAAGAAGCCGCCCAAGGAGGCGTCCCCACTGCCAGCCAGCCGAAAGCACCTGCGCTGGGGCCACCGTGCCCCGGGCCGCTGGTCAAGCCCTTCCAGGCCGCCTTGGTCAAGTCGGAAAACTCAGAAGACGGGGCCACGGGCATGCAGGAACACCGCAGATACTCGCCGCCGCCAAGACACACAAGCCCCACCACCTGCACCCTGCGGAAGCACAGGACCAATCGGAAGCCACGAACACCCTCACACACGTCCCAGCTCCTCGCTCTGGAGCTCAAGTTCCGCCGGAAACAGTACCTCTCCACTGTAGAGAGTGCAGAGTTCTCCAGCTCTCTGAACCTCACAGAGACCCAGGTCAAAATCTGGTTTCAGAACCGAAGGGCCAAGGCAAAAAGACTGCAGGAGGCAGAACTAGAAATGCTGAAAATGGCTGCAAAACCTATGCTGCCCTCTGGCTTCAGGCCCCCCTTCCCCATCAACACGCTCCTGCAAGCAGCATCCATATACGGAACGTCCTACCCTTTCCATAGACCTGTGCTTCCCATCCTGCCTGTGGGACTCTGTGCGACTCCAGTTGGATATGGCATGTACCATCTATCCTAAGGAAGACCAGCTCCTCCATAGACTCCCTGATGGATGTTTGTTTAAATGGGTCCCCCCCTCCCTCTCCAAGAACGCAGTACCAAGCCAGTACTCCTGCTCTGCAAACCTTGCATGCGCCAACCGAAGCAGCTAGGCCCACAGGGCTACAGACATAGTTCGAATTTGTTCTTTAGGCCAGAGGCACCAAGCCCCATTTTCTTGTGATCTTCTAGATGCCCCCTTCTCTTTTCACAAGGATTGGCTCTGGTGATTTATTTATATATATAATTATATATGAATATATAAATAAAAATATAATGTATATATAATGACATTTTTATACAGCAGACATAAAAATTCAGATTTTGAAAGGCAAAATGTATATGCACATATGTATACTTTTTTCTGTATATCACCTTCCTAAATGAGACTGCTTAAGTCCATTTGTATTTTCTTGTAGGAGAAACCAATTATTTGCTAAAATTGCTGCCATCTGGTGATTTTGATGGGATGATTGACTTTTGCCTATGGAGAACAAAGTTAAAATTAAGCATGATGCTTAGGAAGTAGGTATGACAGATTCTTCAAAATGATGAGGACACATCGTGTTTTTGCATTTTTACATGCATTAAAAAACTCATTAGGTACTACCATATTTGGCCCTACATTTTTCCCTCTGTCCACATTGTTACAGATTGTTAAAGTTTTAACTTTTTTTTTTTTTTTTTGGTAAGATCAATGAAAGGGGGTTGAGAAGAATCCTAAGAATGCCTTGGGGTAAGGTGGGACATGGAAGTACTTCCTAATTCCTCTCAAGGCTGTTGCTTAACTCAAGTTAAGGCAAAAGTCAGGCCTCACACATTGCAAAGGTGATTGGGGAGCGGGGAGTGTAGTTAATTCTCCGTTTAAAAATATATATATATATTGTAACCATTACCTATATGCTAAATATTCTTGAGCAATGAATAGATTCAGAAAGAAAAAAAAATCGTGCTCTCTCTGTGTACCTATTGTATGTGCCAAACTTATTAGAAAAATTTATATACTTTTTAACATGTTGGCAGAGGGTAAAGCCGTGTTTTGACTTGTTAAAAATGGTGTTGTCAAACAGCCCATTTAGCTCCCTGGTACTTTATCTTTCAATCTTTCCCCCCACCACCACCCAGTATACTTTTATCCCTCTGAAAGGGTGCCTTGTATAATTTTATATGTTTTATCGAAGTTATTTCTTATCTCTTATTCTGAAATAAACATTTGTTTTATTGCAAAAAAAAAAAAGAATCAGTTAGGCCAATTAAGATATTCAATGAAAAATGAATGCAAACATAAAAATTTAAGAAATCTTTTAAATATTTGATAGATATATAGGTAAACTAAAAATCAACACTGTTACCACTCTACATGCATATTTTCAACAAATTAGATAAAATGGACCAATTTCACAAAAAACACATACTACTAAAACTGATCCAAGGTGAAATAGATAACCTGAACTGTCCTATAACTTCCAAAGAAATTACATTTGTAGTTTAAAAAACAAAAAATCTGAAGTGAAATCTGCAAGATAATGGAAGAGGAAGTCCTAGCCCATATCCCTCAACAAAAACACCAATAAAAGAATGCTATTTCACTTGACTGGTGTCAGTCCCTCCCACAAGTTGGAACAGCTCAGCATCTAAAGAAATCCCCTCAGCTCACAATTTTTCCCTCAGGGGCAAAAAATGAGTAAAGCAACTATCTGACATTAGCCTCACTTTTCAGGATACTGCGCAAAAGATCTACTTCTATCTCAACTCATTCAAGAGCACTGAGGCAACTTTGCCTGGGGGCAACTAAGAGCAAAGAAAAGGGGTAGGAACTCTCAGCTGCCTGCATGGATCTATGGGATTGAGAGAAGGTACACAAAATTCCCAGAAACTTGTAAACTACCAAAACTGAAACGGGAAGAAATAGAATATTT